CCACGCCCGTTTCTGTCAGCTTATCCGGAGGAATTTTCTCACCCAACGATCGTGGCAATAAAGGATGAATCGTATCGTGAGTGTCGAAGTTGGCAGTCTAGCCGGTATCCCACACCGTCCGATCGCGGCGGATTGGTTTCATGGGAGGAGATTTTTCCGGAGCATGGAAATCGCCCAAAGAGGTCGCCACACTCACGTCATCACAGGAGGAGCGAATCTCATTGAGTCCAACAAAAACTCCAAGAAGAGCCAACGAGCCCTCAAGTCTGAACGTCGGGAACACTTTGAGAGAGAATGTCACGCTTCGATCTTGTTCTGCTTGGTTTGATTCTCTAGGGCGGAATCACGAATTCCAGTCCGGAGCTCCGGCACACGGCCCGGCCAGAGGTCGAGCCGTGATCGATTCAGAAATCAGACGACTTACCTTGATTGTTGTTTCGCGAGCCGCGATACGACATAGTTGACACGGGGAGAACGACCGGGTAGAGCTACTTCCTATCCGATCCGCAGGCCAACTCAGAACTGGAACGTCTGCAGCAATAAATTGTTGTTCTCGTCGTGGGTAAGGGCGGTTGGGGCTCCGTCGGCCGATCCGGTCGAGATGAGAGAGATCCCAGTCGAGCTGGACAACTAGAGTAGCTTTCCAGAGCGATGTGTCGACTCGACGTGACCAAGAATCTGACTGACGGCCTGGCGCAGACCGACTATTGGTCGATGTTGTGGTGTTGCGTTCATGCACCACAACACACCGGACTTTCTCGACGCAGCACACACACGGTTGTTTCTCCCTCCTGGCAAGCAGCGGCAGCGTCGATGACGACAACAACGAAGCCTAGCAGCGAGGAGGGTGCCTTTGCCTGAGTGAGACTGGCACTAGAACGAGGAGTGAGTTTTCGCAAGGACGGCCGCCCTGACCGACCAGACGAGTCGTCCTGCCCCTTCGATTCCGTGCCGAGGTTTTCACAGAGTTGGTCTTGGCGGAAAGTCAGCGTCCGAGCTTACACAATTCTGGCGGAGAACGCAAGAGAAAAGAGCAGAGTAAAGTCTCACGAAAACGGAATCCGCCGACGATAGCAGACATGCAATTTTTTCGGAGCAAAGGTCCGAAGGCACGGCGATGCGGCGCTCCTAGATACACGGCAGGAACGGTACAGCGAATGAACGGTCCTGAGAAACCGGAGCAACTGGCGACTGGAAACTGCAGATAATCATTCCAGATGCCAGAGAAGAGCAGAGTAAACTTAGATTGCAGACAAACACCCGACCAGTTTTGTGGATGATGACAATGATCTTTGCTGGAAAGAGGCGGAACTTGCGAAACTCCGGGCTTCTGCTGATCTCCGACAACATTGTAGACCCTCTTTGAATAAAATCTTCACACCTCAAGTGACAAGTGACTTATAACTATTATCATGGAAATTACTCATTACTGTGTTATCACTACCTATATAATAGAGGATGGAGCCGGGAGCACGTCCCCCTCAAGACACGTCGTTCTCCATTGAGCAAAGCGTTTCATGTTCGCACCCTCAATTTTGAGAGGTAAAGTAGGGTTGGTGAAGTTGTTGGGAAGTGGGAGTTTATGCACTGTTTCGCTCTTCACGGGTTCTCCGACGGGTGGCGGGTTGCGACCATGGTGGTCATCTCGTGGCACCTCGCGCAATTTTCGGAGTTTCAGTTTGATCACTGACACCTGGTCACCAATGCTCGCGCTCCGCTTCTTTGGTGGCCCTTCAGATGTCTGCCGACAATAGCGCGGGTGACTTTATCGAAAGGGTTCCGGTCTATGCCTCATTTACAATTTATTCGTTTACCTAGGCTGCAAGATGAGGGGGGCGAATTGCTCGTTCCCCTGTCCCGCCTCCAGCCCGCATCAGCCGAGGTCAGCGATCCCTCGAGGCAGGAGAATTAAGCTTTCTCAGCCATAGAGAGGCACCGAATAATTTGGAAATGACGCCGGAAATTGCGAGTCCGATGACATCGACGAGGCTCGTTTCGCCGAACCTCGGAGACTCGGTATATCTCTCCTCGAGGACAGCAATGGTGGACTCGACTCTCTCGCGAACCAAATCTGCGATTTTGAAAGGAGAATCTTCTCTCTGGACCTAGAGCTTCTCTGTGGGAAGTCGTGAGGCTCAAACGAAGCTATGGGACGGGGACGCTAGAGCAGGTCGTGCTCCAGGAACCGCCTCGTCATCGAGGAGTGAACTTCGAAGAGGAGTATAGTTCACATGATCTCCTAGGGAACAGATGTGCTCTGCAACGAAGGTACTACGGTAGACATATGATTCTTGGCTCGATCTTCTTCTCTACAACTCGCATATTTGGAGCTCTGCTGTCGAAAAACATGGCCAGATCTTGCCTGTGCTCTCTGACATTCCAAGGCCTTCGACAGACTGTTCGGCATGCCGCTCCCTGAATGAGGGCCCTCGCGTCGTGCTCCAACATAATCTCTGCTGGGATTGGGCTCGATTTCAAGCTTTCTTAACCATCGCTCTATCAAGGCTACGGCCGATGGCGCTATATCCTAAATCTTCGCGAATGAACGCAGGCGTACGCCAAGGTTCAGTGCTCTCTCCGACTCTCTTCGTCAATGTTGCACGTCAATGATCTCCTCACCTCCCCCTCGAACCCCGTGCACGGCTTCGTCGATGGCACTACCCCATGCTGACCACTCCTTCAAAGGGTGATCCACCCCTGCCCAAACCGATTCCTTTCAACCTGTCGTGCTGGCCTCCCACGATTGCCAACTTCGGCAGATTTTGGACTTGGCCTCAACTAACTTAGTCAAGTTCGATTCTCTGGAGACGCAGCTCACGCCCCCCCTCTCATCGATGATACAGCCCTGTCCTCTGGTCTCGATTCCTTATCTATCCTACATATCATCACCGACCGATGTCTATTTCATCGTTACGTAGCGTCTTCCATGGAAAATGCTCTCCCCTATTCTGCTCAACTTATCCTCAATCGCACTACTGATTTCAACTCTTCTCTCTCTCAAATTCTTCGGATCAATCACTATCCGCTCGCTCCTAGAAAAGTGTCGGATTTTTTATCGGGTCTCATTTACATGAGCCCCACAACCCAGCTGAATTTCACGCTCTTCTAGGTCGTGCATCAATGCATTTTTCCCTATGGCTCTTTTCCTCAGTTTTTCGCTGTCCACACTCGCAGCTCCCGTCGGGACGCATGGGATCAGCCCTCTGCAAGTCGCTGTTCAAAAAAATGACAGAACAGGAAAGCTTCTGAGGACTCATTGGCAGACCGTGAACAGATCGCCTTGCAGATTTTGAAAACGTCTTCGCTCGGAGATCTCTCGTTTTACGAGTCAGCCTTGTCGCGTGAAGAGAAACTACCTACTTGATAAAGTTAAAGGAGCTCGCTCCGCGGAGCATCGGCGCGATTCAAGAGTCTCTTTGATGAGTTATTGTCTTGAAGCTGCAATGCGAAGTCAATGCAGAAGTAGTAGCATCGCGTCGTGCGGAATCGTGAGAATCGATCTGCACAACACGTAGCGTTTTCTCTCGAGAAACCCGGAGACCACGCTGAGACGATATCGTCGCAAGAACTGCGACTGTTCATGTGTAAATTCGTAACGGCGAGATAATCTCTGATTTACCAATAATGCCTTAAACAGCTCGAAGCACTTGCGCATCCGTCCAATATATTGCGTTGCTATTGCACATTGAGCAGCGGAGAGATCTTTGACGGTCAGTGGAAGATGTCGACATACGCAGCTGTTCGTTTCATTAGTACGATTCCCGTCCAGGGAGACTAACGGAGAAATGCAGGCGACGTCGAGGGAGGTCGATACGGGGCAGACCCCTGGTTCTTTCGACCTGTTTTCCAACTGGTCCGAATTGACGAAGGAGAAACTCTTGGCCAGGGCGCGAGTTGAGTCCCGGACGCCTGGCGTCGGGGATCGGAGTCCGAGTGAGAGATGGAATATGGAACGGCCGCAAATTGACTTTGAATTGACTCGGGAGAATAATCTCTGCTCAGGATAATCAAGTTTTTTGCGTTCGATACAATCCCTATCGATCACCCGAAGTTCCCACGTCGTCTCTGCTGAATTCGTGCGCACTCCTTCGCTCTCGGAATCCGGGTTGCCTGTTCGAACAAGAGGGAGATTTTCGAGTTGCCCCGATCTCGGCGGGACGTCTCGATCAAGGAAACTCCCTTAGATCCTCCTTACCAAGGCTCTGTCTGTAAGGTCTCCCTGGTCTGCGGCCAGTCTGACGTGATAGAGAGCGACGAATGGAAGTTGACCATAGAACCAATCAAACACGCGTGGAGCACGACGTGGGTTGGGGAAAATCATAATCAAAATCACAGATATCTGAAAATCATGAGTATAACTATGATTGGAGTCATAATCATAATCACAGGGATTCTGTGATTTTGCCGTAATCATACCCGTAATCATAGAATTTACGTCAAGACACGGGTTTTAAAAATGATAGGTATGTATCTGGGGGTTTCGGGATACCGGATCCCGATTCTTGCATTGGTTCGCCCTGATCCTTCTCTTCCTGCGGCTCAGGCTCAGGCTCTCCTCGTCGATGGAGACGTGGCTCCGCTTGCTGTCTCAAATGATCGAGGAAGCTATCAGTTCTTTCAACTGACTAAGTGACGGAGACCGGAGACTTACGTGATACTCGAGGATATTGAAGAACACGGGACTGTTTCGAGACGTTCTCGAACCACAAGCGATGTTTAACTATTGAATAATTCGGTATCCTGTTGTGCTAGAAACTTTGACTGCACGAACACCGGGCTCCCACCCGATCCGGACCCTTCTCTCAGATGCTCGAGGCTAGAAGCCAGAGGGATGGACGTCGAGTGCGAGCGCTCCCGAGTTTCCCGTGGAATCATGTGTGCGTCGAAGTAGCATCACGGAGGGATTATTCTTTGACACTCGACCCTCTTTGACCGCAGCTTTGTGTCTTCATTGCCGCGATGTCAGTGCTCAGTGGAACAGAGATGGAAAACTCTTCGCGAGGGATTAAACAGCAGTTTTATCTCAGAAAATATTGATGGGTCTTATTCGTGCCCTTCATTTTGGAATGGTGTCCACGTACGAGTCCCATTCGGCCTGGTAGAAATTTCCTGCGTAGGGGTCTCCAAGGTTGTACTGCGCAGCGAATTTGCTGGCACTCCATTTATAGCGATTTTCACGAGAAGAGCTTGGAACTCTCTTTTCGGTAATCTCGAGCCGTGTCGGCTGTTTGTACACAAGTACGACATAACGATGGAGGCCTGGAACGGGAGAAATAGAATTTCCATCAGTCGATTCCATAAGTGGAAACGAGTGGACACGAGCGAGGCGAGGGCTCGCTGCTTGCAAGGATGGAATCTAATAGATGAGTGACCTCCGAGGGTAACCCCATCTAGCGCCCGAAACCCCACGCTCGGACAATGGGCCATACCTGTGTTCTTAGGCGGTCCGGACCCCCTGTAACCAGCTATTTCCTCTCCTTGATTGACGGCAGTCCCGGGAATATTCACTACCAGCCAATGCTTCACTTCACTTATGGTCCGGTTCTCTCGGGATGGAGCATCGGGATCTGTCATGAGGAGCGTGTACAATGCACCGGGCTCTGCTTCCCAAGAAAGAGACTTGGGCGGAGATTTCACCTGGGTCGGGGTCAGAACGTTGCCGAGATGAAGCGAGACGCCGTTCCCGTAGTCAACCTGAGGGGAAGATTACGGACTCCGAATTAGCTCTATCCAATAATTACCGCCACGTATGATCCGAAACTTTCTCGTCCCCGTCCTGAACCTACCTCGACAGTTGTCGGAGGTGCCACGGGAACTACGTCCGGAACGACCTTGTGCTCCTCGAATCTCGCTTTAGCCGTAGTGAGCTCATGATCTCCCACAGTCACACGGAGGATGGCGAAAATGGTCAAGATACTCAACATCATCCTGCTACTTTCGTCGTAGGAACCTTTGGAGCGATGGGTGATCCTTCAGGGCTATATATTTACAGCATCGCCTCGCTGGTGAGAGTGATACTTTTTTATTGGTGGAGAAGGGCCGGGCGCCAAACCTGCTTTTTGGGTCTTCTGCGACTTGACAAATATTTTGGTACTCGTCTTCGCACCACCAAACTTGGATCGTCGAAAAACACAATGAATTCAGAATAAGCTTGTTCGTGTCTTTCGCACGGTCTGATGCACTGGGATTTCTTCTGGTCTTTCGTCGCCCAGGCGGAAGCTCTCTCGATCACCACCTCGAATTCTCGGATGACTAACTGATCTGGCAGAGTCGAAGAGGAGCCAAATTGGTTGATTTTTGGAGTGGGCGGGAGTTGGCGATCTATATCTAGACTGGCTGCGGATTCCTGAGCAGAGCTTTTCTGTTCTCGATCAGTCTGCCCTCCCATCTCATCCAGCTTCACTCATCGAACGGCTGGCGCTTGACTATGTAGTGTCGAATCGCGGCCAGAACCTCTATCAAATGCTGACATTTCCTGTCCGACCTGCCTCAATGAGAGCTTACATTTGCCCACATTCCATGGCATGGGAGGGGCCGACTCGCTTTGCGTCAACGAATTAGCGACCCACTCGCTCGGGAAGAAGGACTCAGTCCCGAGCCTACCCCTCGAAGCCTGCTTAGCTATTCGAGTGCTGCACTCGCGCGGGTGACGTCCCAGCAGGCTGTATGGACCACGGTGACGGCTTCGGCGATCCACGGTTGTTTGTCGCACCGTCGGAGAGCAATCGTATCGTAGGATAAGTCGGCCTACGATCGAGTCTCCCGTCCTGAGGAACTTATACGTCAATTATCACCGCATTCCGAGCGGCGTATTTGCTCAGCACCGTTCTGACGAGGATTTCTGCGCCGTCGAAACAAAACAGGCCGGCCAACTCGCGTCCGCGATGATATTCTAACTCAGCACCCGAAATTGATCGGCGTTAGGTCATCCAGAGCGACGCCGATGACAAGGTTCAAGACATTGCGGTGCAGTCTCTACAACGCAACCCTCTGGTACCCGAAGCGCGAGTTTCTCGCCATTCCGCCGGCTGAGGTCGAAAAATCCAGTAGAGGAGGAGTTTGGATTCCGATTCCTCCTACGTCGCCGATTCCTCCTATGCCAATGCTCCGGGGTAACGATGTTTGGAACATGCACTAGTGATTCCACCCTCAAGTCATGTCATAGGCGGAAAAAAAGAGAGCGCTGGAAGGCGACCCATATCACAGCCGCGATTGACAATAGCCTCCTGCCCTGGGTCTCATAGATTCAGCGAATATGAAGCAACTTCCCTGAGGGGATCCCCCGAGCAGTTCTCATAGCCACGATCTAAGTAAGCTCACTGACTGGCAAGGGTGCTCACCAGAGCAGCTACCGTCCGACTTCAAGGAGTCTCTTCCGAGTCTCGTCTGGATGCCCTCCAAATATCGGCAAAAAGGTCCTTTTGGGACTCAGAGATCGACTAGCGGACCCCGTGCTGAGTTCTATACAACCGAAAATCCTCATGTCGCGGAAGAATCCGCGACATTCGAACTTGCGCGCTTCCGTAGGCGGTCAGATAAGCGCTGACTAAGAATGTCTCTTCCCCTCGAATCCGTCGGCGCCGCGCTTCTGACGACGACGACATGGCCATTCCTACTGAAGAAAAACATGGCGGCAAACGAGGGTGAGTGTGACCCTGATAAACATTCATAGAAAATCCGAGGGATTCCTCATGGGAGGGTCCGATTGATTTGCCTAGGCCCCTTAGATAGCCAGCAGGTCCGCCGACGAAGTCCCGAAATTATTATCAGAGCTCTTCGGTGGCTTGGCGGGCGACCTCGGCGACGCCTGCGCCACCTGGAGTGAGCAAAGAGCTGCCGCCGCTACGCTTTCATCTTTCCGAAGTTTAGCGAGTCTAGACGACACAGCCAAGTCCTGACATACCGACATTCAGCTGGTCACGAACGTTCTCGCAAAACCTTCACGCGGCGGCAACAGCAGCACCTTCACCATCTCACGATTACCGCGAGAGCAAAAGGACAACAAACGGTAACGATCGGACACAAGCGACGAAAGCGTAGAGACGGAGCGACGTCGGTCGAACGGGAATCGACCGAGCGAGCGAGTTTCTGTCCGACCCGCCTGTGGATGAGCCGATCTCGATTAGTGGATATATCGACTCAATTCAAGCGGTTTTCGTTCTTGGACCAGAGTCAGACATCGGGGTAGAGGGCTGGACGTGAGCGAGTGCCGTCAGCTCACGCCGGTAGAACACCCGAACGCTCAGCTTTAATTTTGACGTAGCGCTCGATCAATCGGACAAGGGTTGGAATGCTCGCCTTCCAGGAAGATGCCGAGGCGAACGCACGCAATAGCAAGGTGAGGAATTCGAGTCCCATTCGGTGATGCGGTTTGGGGAAGGTTCATGCCGTCGGGGTAGGCCAGCTCGGCTAGAAAAGTTTCGCGGCAGCTCTCTCGACGACTTATTCCGAGCACTCGAATGACAGCTGGTGGATGAAGTCCGATGGAGCGCTCTACCGAGATGGAGGAAAAACTCCCCCGCTATCCTGGTAGTTCCTTTCGGACACACGGTATCTGCTCTAGCAATTCATTGACCGCGTGAACTAGGAGAAGTCCATCCGATAATGAATGATGACTAATAGACCTACCACTCCTAGTGTGGGATGTTATGAATCATTGCCCGCTCTGAATATTTGTACCAGGTCACGTTGAGATCGTGAAATGGGACTGAGAGGCTCTGGAGCTAGGGATGTTGATCCGCGCGAACGAGAGGAATCTCTATGCTCCGAGGAGGAGGGGAAAAGTCTGAGTTCACCGATCTCATTGTTCTCTTCCGCTGGTGAAAGTCGTATTGAGTGGACGTTGCTGGCATTGTCGATCTGTTCAATGAGAACCTATCGCGATGCGCTCAATCAAAGTGAGCGGAGATAATTTCGAGTACTAGACGACAGGGAGCAGAGGGCTAATTCCATATTATGGAGAATCGCCCGCTTATAGATGCCGATGAGCGAGCGGCGCGGAATGAGATCTCGACGAAGGGTATCGCGTAGCATTCTGCCCGGAAAGATCTGATGGGAGAATTTTTCCAGGATTCCGCACCCGTCACGGTGGATTCCAGCGAAGATCTTGCGGTCGACATATCAGATGCGCTCTCCGAACGAGACAAGGTAAATAATTCCTCCTTTGCCGTAACGACAAGACTCGTCCTCGGAGGCACGCCTCCGACCTCGAGGAAGCGTTCTAGGCTCATCAATGCGTGACATTTTTCTGTGAACGCTCTCTGAATCCGTGTTTTTCTCTTAGGTCAAGTTCACCGTGCACACCCGCTACACGTCTGGAGAGCATTCGGTCGTTCGTGAGCACGAAGAATTCATCTGGCTTCACACTGTGATCGAAGAGCACCCTCCCTATGCAGGTTATATTGTGAGTTGCGAAGCTCTCGGTTTATTGATGATCATGGTACTCCGAGGTTGTCCAGGAGTGTTCTCCCGACGAATTCGATGTTTACGACTTGCCTAACGCGACTCCCATTAGATTATTTCTATTCCGTAACAAGGCGTCTCGCTCCCTCGACAGATTCCTCCACCGCCACCTAGACCCGACTTCGATGCCTCGCGTGAGAAACTTCAAAAGCTCGGGGAGGGTGAAGGAACGATGACCAAGGTACTGGAATCGGAGCATATCTTTCAGCTGGGCAGCGCTTCGGACCGAAGGCAATCATTCCCCTGCGTCGCCAAGCGTCAAAAATACCATCTATCTTTCTCAGGATGAATTCGCCAAGATGAAGGCCGAGCTTGAGGCCGAGTATCTGGCTACATTCAAGAAAACGGTCGCCATGCACGAGATGTTCCTTCAGCGCTTAGCGAGTCACCGAATCTTCAAAAATGATCCCAATTTCAAGATTTTCCTCACTTACAAAGACGATCTCAGCGTACGAGGGCGGAACAAGGCAAGACATTATTTCATTTCCCCTGTCGCTCGATTTGAGCACGCCGTCGCTGTTCTGCATTGCATCTGATCATTGATCTGATCGCACGAGCGAGTGTCGATAGTTCTCTTGCATGAGATCACGCTCCTCTGACCATTTGGGCCTTCGTGCATTCATGCATGATTTTCAAAGAAAAAAATCGACCGAGAAACATCAGGTCGCTCGATACCTTCTCGTTGCATATCAAGGAGCGAAGCTCCGCGTCTACCACTCACTCAAGCTCTGATCTTATTCCAGTTGGTATGAGAGTTTATGTTCTGGTTTTTCCTTGTCTTCTCTAAACTTGAAAGATTTTGGGGTTCGAACTTTCCTTTTGCTCGATTCCGGCGTAACGGATGAATAGCGAAGCGGACATTAAGCGGGAGATCAGAAACACAAAAGATTTGACGCTTTCGTCGTCGCTGCCCCTCGGGATCTCAGTTTAATGGTTTTGTGAAACCTTGCAGAAGGAAATGTTCCAGAAGTTCTTTACAAAGCTCAACCAATCTGCGGACGATTTCATGTCGCCTTCGGTCGAACGGAGCGATTCGTTTGATCCTCAGAAACATTTCCTCATCAGTTATCAGTCTCACGTTGAGAACGCTTACCAGAAAGCTGACAAGATGACTCAGGTAAGGTGGGAATCAGACCAGAGAGACGCTTCTATACTGGAGAACCGGGAAGCAACTTCGATTTCGAAGAACCCCACAGCTCCATTATATGACGGAGGTTCAGCTGGGCTCTCGAATGACGAGGAGCGATTCTTCCTCCTGGAAAAGTTGGAATGAGGATATTCTCCATTAAAACGTATTCCCGCTTCCGCATTGATTCGCTCCTCGATGTCAAGGCTCGAATTTTTGTCTTGTAGGCGCACAAACGGCTAGCCGACAACTATATTCGGATCTCCACGCAATTCCTCGAGCTTTCGAAGATGGAATCCCAGCTGCGCAAATACATTCCAAAGTTCTCGGACGGTCTCGAGAAGGCCCGCAAATGCGAAAGCCGTGCTTGTTCCGACATGGACTTGAAGCTCACTGATATCTTGAAATACTATCACAACGAAACGAAAGCAGCTCGTGATCTGATGCAGCGAAGACAGAGGTGAGCTCAGCCGACGAATCGTCGACAGCGACAAGTTGATCCTCCAGCAGTTGTCCGTAATCAGGTTGGCGGACGTCCCATTGGAGCCCGCCTGATATTCTGTTCATCAATCGGATGACACAAGCATTGTTTTTTTTCCTCCCTCGACCAGGTGTCTCCTAGACTACGAGAACGCCAACAAGCAATTGGAGAAAGCACGTCTCCGTGAGCGTGAAGTCTCGTCGGCTGAAGAATGCCAGCGAGAAGCTTCATCAAGATACGAAGACATTACGAGCACCATGGAGAAAGAATTGCTAGGTTTCAGAAGTAGACGCATTTCGAACTACAAGAAGAGTCTCATCGAACTCGCCGAGTTGCAGGTGAAGCACAATAAGGTGAGCATCGGCAAATCCGACCGAAACGGAGGAGGGGTATTAGATGAATCAGACTTTTTCAAGAGCGAGCATCAGTCTCGACATCCAGGAGGGATTCCAGGAAACAGGTGTCATTGGCTGGGCTGGTAGTCGCTGATCCGGGCTGATATCTCGGCCCTGATACCGTGACGAACAGCCAGCCCGAACGATGGCATACGCTCCGACCGTACTCAGGCTAATGAGTCTTTCTCGCTGATTCCAGAGCGCTCTTCAAGTTCTCCGGAACTGTTTGCTATCCCTCAAATCGGAAATGATCCAGGACGAGCTGTAGGTGGGAGCTCATTCGTCGAGAATAAATATTTCCAGTCTGAAGTCCGAACAAGCAGAACTCCTGGAGAATGGATGCATTTATGCATTTCGACGTTCCGGGAGGCGCTCAACCGATCACCACGTGAAATTCATAGCTCGGAATATTCGGAGAATTCATGCGAGCGTTCATGGAGTAATCCCATGAGCACCTTGGATAAAGGACGTTTTCCTCGAGTGTGTGGATAAGTTCAATCGGGAACCAGGTTCGACCCCGGTGCTGATGGATTGCTGCCATACGTCTTTTTAAATGTCGGAGTGGGAGGGGGGCTCCAATCGCTGCCTCCAGCTCGAAGACTTCTCGATCCTACCTTGAGCGTCTCTAAATCATAATGAGATATCGAGCGCTCTGAAGCTTGAGCTCCGAGGGCAAACCTCATCGGATCTCGAAACTATCTGCTTTAGTCTCAGATGCGACATACTATTGGAACCAACCTCGTTCTTCTGAATGCGATGTCTGATTTCATTTCGTGCTCGTAAGTTGTCAAAGTTGTTTATCCTACTCAAAGTTTACCCCTACTGTTACTCCTTCCGTTAATTTCGAGCACATCAGCTTTTCTCCCGAGGTCTTCGACGGCTACAGAGCCCTCTAACGGGCTGGAGTACTAGCCAGCAATATTCGTGAGATCGAAGAGAAGCAAAGTCCAAAAGTTCCCCCCACGGTTCAGGGACGTCCTCGTTCGCTTCAATCACACTTTCAGTTGGAGCTCCAAAGTGTTCAAAAAACCCACGTAAATCTTCACTGGTGGCCTGAGGCGATGGGAATGCAAAGGAATGTTGGTATGGCGATCCCAAACGTGTCCGAAATAAATTTCGACTATATTTTCGAAAAGCTGACGAGGTATCCTCCATTTCATCCCTCCGAGATTAGCTCCCCGCCGAACAGGCGGCCGAGTCTCGACAAGAATGGAAGGACGAGCGTGAAACGAATTCCGCTCGCTGATCGCACGTTCATCGTGGATTCGCACGCTCATCTACCACTCACTGCGCACAGATTGAAGACATTCTGTCTCCGTTGACGCGAATCCCTCGATGGATCCCGCCCTTCGGACGGAGCCTGATCCGTCGAATGCTGTACGATGTTATGCAGATTACCATGTCGAGGTGAGCCCTTTCGTGGAGGGAACGAATCGACCTTCAATTGTACCTTTGGAGAGTTTGAGAATCACTTACTCTGGATTCTTTTGTACTACGTAGCTGACCGAGGAACGAATTTATTATTCCGTTGTGAAGAGAATTTGCATCCTTTTGAGGAGTTCGGAACCGTACGATCATGGTTTCGTTGATGTATCTAGAGGCCATGGTAAAGCTCCACATGCTTGTGGGGTTTCCCATTTTTAGGAGCAGATTTATTTTCGTATTTCTGGCAGTTGATAGATGATATTGAGGGTGAAATTTGTGAGCATAACATAAGAAAGAGGTGACTTGATGACTCTTTGAGTCATCAAGGTGATCTCTTTGTGAGGAGATGGTGTATGCACATAGGAATCCTTACCTCCCCTATCCCCCTGTAGACTAAAAATTCATCATGAGACTCCGCCAATGGCCAATGGCATATGACCCACGGTGGAATGGCCCGAGGAAAACAATTCAAGAGCGGCGGACCGACAGACAGAACGCTTCTAGTCTATTGATGGGATAGTGATGGGCGCCTTTCTGCGCGGAGGTTTGTCCGGGGCAGAGTGAGCCTCTCTGACGCTCCGAAGACGTGACTCCCGCTAACGTAAAATCGATGCAACCTGATCTGATTCAGGAAGTGCAAGTTCGAGGGTAGAGTTCCAATGATGCACCGTTTAACGCCTATGACGAGCACCTATTTTATGAATTCGAATAATCTCCCCGCAATATGGAGACTTCATTATTTCTTAGCGAAAAACGCTGTGCCTAAGGTTCATAAGCTCAATGAGTCTCTCCAAGGAGCTACCGAAAACTTAAGAACCAGGATCTCCGTCATTGGAGCCCTATCCGTGATTGTTGATATTTCTACATAGGATCGGACACTCCACCCTCACGGAGAGACCTGCTGACTGTTCTCTACGATCTCTCGAGTCGCCAATCAGTCATCCAATCAATCGAGTCGACTTCCACGACGAGTCGATGACAGTGTGCTCTCTGAGCATCAGCGAGCGAGGAGCTCTCAGTAAGTACCGACATCGAGTCTCACAGCTCCAGACGGCCAATCTGTCAGTGATGGTATATAGAAAAAAGTCAGCCGCTCACCACTCCCGTGATTAGGAGAGGGACTTTGCGGCAGCGGCACCAGCAGACGATCAGCCGGACTTGTAGAGCTGCCGCAGTTTCCATCGCGGCAGAGGAGCGCCGTCACCGAAACTCATGAGGTGGTTTGTGGCGATCGTGTTGTGTTGTGCGGCCCAACGGGTTCGGGCGCAACAGCCCGTTCGGGTCGATACGTTGAATAATACGAAGATCGACAAAGTTGGAATTGTGCACGAACAGCTGTGGGCCGCTGGCGGTGGGTCGGTGTTCATCTACAAGAATTCGAAGGTATGTACGATAGTGTCGTCACAGCGACGTCGATGCTCGACGACCACTACTACAGCGGCGACGTCAATGCGACGTCGACTCATCGGATGCTCGAATCATGAACTCCTTTCTTACTCATCTTGGCAGACTTCTTCACTGAGCGAATTCACTTTTCAAGTCCTCCGAGATGACGCACCGCTCGGAGGGCTGTCATCTGATTGACGGGTTGAGCAGAGCGCTCTGCCGCCGTTCGCGATCCGAAACTCGATCAGACGTCTCCCTGCAGCCTGGATGCTCGATAGTTGCTAGCTCGCGATCACCAGACGTCAAAATCGTTTGTGTACCGCCAAATGCCCGTGGTCGAGCTTGAGGATCGTTAAGCTCTATCGGAGCGTCGATCGTATTCTCCCCAAGGGGCTTCGAAGGGTCGACCCGTGACCTCCCCCCGGAAATCGGCTCTACTCCCAAAAGTTCCATCTCAAGACGAGATCACCTTCGCGGCACGCTCTGGGGTTTTCGACCACGCTCACCTGTTCGCAGAGAACACAGCTGATCCACGCCCCGAGTAAGGGACGGGCCGGCCGTCAAGAGTTACCGAACCCGCCCGAGTTCTCGGGAGGCTCAATTTCCAGCCGTTCGTCTATCGAACTGCGCGGACCTTCCGGGGAACTTCCGTGGTTCCCAGGGAGAAAAGTCGTTATGGGGTTGCGTTAATCCATGATGTTTCTTGACTCGATCCTCGAGATTTGGTGGAAGAGATTCGTGTGACTCTCCTTCCACGGGCAATAGCTATCTAAGTTTCATCGTGTTCGGAAGCGTCTATCAATAATCCCTGGGGTGAGGCATCCGGAAGCGATGGATTTCGGCACGGTCTTCTCGAAGATAAGTTCGAGGCTCCGATGAGACTCCATGCAAGATTCCGATTCGGCAAGCGTCAATGGGAGACGACAAAACATTTTCTGATTCATTTCTGGCAAGCTGGTCGGATAGAATACCAAGAGCTGGCGAGGGAATGTTTCCTTTGTGTTGACGGACTTGTCCAAGCCAGAGAAGTGGATTCTATCCATTGAGAAGAATGCAGGTTCCTGAGAGGGTTTATTCACCGGTTTCGAACGGTAGAGTAAGTCTTTAGAAAACATCGAGTGTAAAGGCGTTTCCGTTTCCGCTCCCTACTCTCGACGTGTGATGGAATCAATCGTTTGGAGAGACGTTGACAACAGGGGCCAGTATCGCCGTTAGAACGATGGCGGAGGAACACTCTTAGCGCGATGCGATTGTTCCGGAGCGCGAACCGGATTGTGGATTATTATTCTGAGCGGACTTTCGATGGGTAATTTGACTGTACGCGATCGAGGATCTTCCCCGAGACAGAGACGATTTCGATGAGCCTCAGAGTTCTCGTAGCTCCCGTTGGAGAGGTCATGAATCGGCATACTCAGAATATAACTTCACTCTCATCTGAGAGACCAGAGACTCCGCGAACGATAGTCTGTTCGTGCGAGGATTACCGCGGAGCATTTGGTCAGTCGTTCGGAAACCTTCACATCGGAGAGTGGAGAGCAGCACGGAATTTAGGAAGAAATTCATTGAATATATACTCCACAGCCGGTTCCTGGAGCTTTTTCGCGGGCGAAAGTCTAAGCCAGCGGTGCGGTACGATTGGCGACACTGCGGTTCCGTGCTATTCCTTCCACGATTTGGCAATGCTTTCGAGGAATCCTTATCTGACAGCTAGACGGGCCTCAACTCGAGTAGGAACGTTTTGCCTATTTGATAGCGTCGTTCCAGAAACTCATCCTCCTCTCGCTATCGGATGCTACCCCCGCCGAGGAACGGGGAATCGTACAGTGTCAATATTGGAGCGTGAACAAGATATCGCGATCGGCGGAGAGCTAGGAGATTTCGTCAATCAAGAATCATCATTTCATTCGATCCTTGATGATTCTTTCGAGATACGACCACAGGTCGAATCTTCACTGAGGGCTTCGAACGTATGAGATCGGACGCATGACATTGATCCCTGCTAAAGCTCGTGGCAAACGTCGCTCGCTCGAATCAGAAGATACCGGGCTGAAAGCGCGGCGCCTCAGAGGCCCGAATTCGAAGCAGACATTTCTCGCTCCCGTCCGATGTCAAATTCGCGCGATTAGCCTAATGGTGGCTTCTCGGCAGGACAAGCTCAGAAGTAGGAGTCCGACTCGTGGGATGATTGAGCAGTCGAGCTCTGTTGCCAGCACGGCTGGTTTTATTTCCCTCGCCAAGAATTTACGTGCGAGAATCCGATTGATCATAAACGTCCGCGGAGATCGGCTCGCCTTATGCCATTAACCTTTCGGAATGACAACGTTTTCCCGGTAAAGCTCATCGGTGGCGTTGCTCATTCACAGTTCCGGCTTGAGAACATCGCTGGCCGCTCTACGGAGTTATCCGGAGCGTGCCATCTGCAAATTCTGAGAGCGATGGCAGACTTAATGAGACGATTCGAATGAATTAAAGCTCCAGGCGTTCAGGTGAGCGTCGCTCCGATCGGGAGGCGATCTCCGATCACGTGCCGATAAGTGACGTCGAAAGTTGTTTGACTGAGTGAGAAGAAACCGAATGAGGAAACTTCACTTGGAATGACTCAATTTCGTCCGTTTTGCATGCCTCCCTTGTGGTCGTAGTGGCGTCCGAGGGACACTCACTAGGACGGACTGGGGAACGATTTTGATTTGAGTGAAGCGCCGAACAGTAACGCAGGATGTGAAAGTCGTTGACTCCGCTTTTTCGACCGCGGTATGGTTCCGCATGAGCGCAAGGACTGCGAACATCCGGCGAGCGTGATACTAAGAATCGCTCGTTGCCTCGAAAATGCCCCGGGAAACAATGTTCTCCACGCGATGTCTAGCCCAGACTGACTTGATAAGGATTGAATTCATCAGGGAAATGAATTTATTCCTGAAAAGTTTTCGCCCATCCTCTAGAATTCCGAGCTTTTCCTGAAGCCTCGCTCGGAATGGATCGGAGCTCTCTCTATACCCCGCTAAGTCGCTCCACGATACCCCGGAGGCGACTGGACCGAGTAGCCGGACAGTCGCTAATTTTCCCAAAAGTTGGGATTCTCATTTAAGACGCTCGCTGAGATCGAAGAGAATTCGATCACCGGATGTATTTGACGTCAATCAATCATTTCGCACGTCATTCGGTCATTGATAATGATTGCTTCGCGAATGTGCCGGAAGTATGAATGACTGAGACGCGCACAATTATGGCAGAGACCGCATGAATGAGCGATAACTGTTGACTAAAGCCCTCGATACGTCTAATACGTCGGATCGGTGATAAGCAGCTACTTGAGCTCTATTCAGCTGTAAGGAATCATCCGATCGATCGCAGTACGTTTTTCGGCGCGAGTTAGCTCAAGATCAAGTCTGAGGTTTCACCCCTGTGTTCAGAGTTGCGATGGCTGCTCCCTGGCCTTGATAAGCCTCGCCCCCGCAGCTACTGATCGCATCTATCATCATAAACATTGATTCTAGCAAGTACTCGATGAGCGATTGCAGCGCATTCGGGAGGGCAACAGTGTCGGATTTCGAGTGGAACAGCTCCGAGTTATGGACCTTTGACCTCGAAAGAAAGAATAGGTTTTCGTTGAATGTAGCAAAGGGCACTACGGTCTCCCCCTCGAGAGCAGTGCTCCAAAGGCATGTCTGGAATCCGACGCTGCCTAAAGCCACGATGGAATCGCCCACGAATGCTCCCAGAATGTAGGGTAATCCATTCGCGAAAGCTTAATGAGGGATAGATTGGAGCCAAGGCGAAGCCGTCGCACGGGCTCCTCGCTCGACGAGGAGACCTCGAAGGTTCTCGATTCCTTGGATTCGAAAGGAATCGATTATTTTGCTCCCCAGTAATTCTGCTCATCGCACAGGCTTCTCGGCTCGTCGTCTCATGCTTGGAGATTTCTTCGCAGTCGTGATTCGCACTGTATTCTCGCTCGGACTGCTGCTCAGCGTGGAGATTGTTTATAGCGACCGTCTACTAAGCTCATACAAACGTGGCTCAACCTTTCCGCGAGGGAGTAACAATCTCGATTTTGCACCGCCTAAATACATCTTTAAGGGAAGAAGAGTTTTATGATTGTGTTTCCCGAGGCCAGTGTCTCTCGCCTTGATCTCGTCGATGTTCAAGAGGCCGACGGGTGTTTGCGCGGTGGACTTATGGGCGTTTCTGTAAACATAGGCGTGGTGTATTGCTTCATGAGGATGGAAGCGGCACCAATTTATATCCGTACGCAAAAGGGGGCGGTCTCAGTGTATATCGGAGTCTCGTTCGAACGGCTCAGACCTGAAAGCCTTCTCGATGAATTTCTGCATTTAGATCCGACGATCGCGCGGCCAATCGCAATGATTCATGATCGATAATAATGAGAAGAATCAGTCCCTAAATTCCTGAGGCTCATTATTCTCCCATGTTGTCATCAGATCCAGACTACATGTTCCCTTGTTTGATCTTGGGCCCTCTCGGTCACCCAGTTCCGGGAATACGGAAGCCGAACAATCAGATGGACGCTAGCTTGCTTGTCCGGCTTCTCATGAGCAAAATACGCTCCCAAAACCGCGCCGCCCAAGAGGGGATGGGCTCTCCACAGGGGGATCTCAGTGGGCTCCCGTCAGAAGTCCCGTCAGGCGTCCGACACCGCCGAGGGCAGGTGGCGCGGCGATGATGGCGGCGATACATCAGGACTTCCGTTTTCCTAATACTCAGCGATAGATCTCGGGTAACTGCCGGAACGCAAGAGCGTGGAAAGCGTTTGAAGAATCATCAGTCGTTGCTCGCAGGAACAGCCGATTCACGCATTCGATCTGAGAAGCTCGATGCATGTGTTGGCTGATCGAGCCTGGTGAACGACGCGAAGAACCGAGATAACCGAGTCAAGGTTCTCGATCGTGTCGGAATTGATACAATAGAGATTCTGTCTTACTGGTGTCTGATTCGGAAGGCGCTCGTCTATTGGAGGCTCCTGCTCAGTGGGCCTCCTCTGTGTAGATACCATTTTGCACGATACGTTTCGGGAGTCTCTCCAAGAAAAACCTTAGCTGTCACTCTGAAAGGCAAATCTACAAGATCTCTGCTGACAGAGAGCGGAACAATACGAACCATGTCACAAGGAGATGCTCCCCCTGAACCAGTGATCCATGGGACGCTGAGAGAATCATCATCCTCATGAACTTTCTGATCCCAATGCGACAGGTCCACGAGGTGCTCCGATTCGATTCATGTATCCTCCATTAGCAGACTTTCCTCTCCTCTAACTTGAACCGTTCCTTTCCAGTGGAGTCCAGCTTTTAGGAATAATGGCGAGGGAGAAGCTTACGCCATGGGCGCAATCACCACATCGAGCCACGATACGACCACGACAAGGAACAAAGATGCGACCAACCTGGGTATCGTCTGTTTCGCCCGCGATCGGGGTCTCTGTTCTGTGTACGACCCCGAATCAAACCGAGCCTTCAGCCTGGATGACAATCAAGCGAGAGATTTCGCGGCTCCCGGGACGTTGCTGACGCTCTTGCAAGATCACGCGAGGGGAACTCCGCTCTTGATCGCTGTGAATCAGAATGCCACACCAGTGAACGAAGTCCCGCTCCAACTGGCCGAGCTTTCGAGCGAAGAATTCCAGGCCAAAATGAAGAGTGATGCCGTCAAGCTCTCGCTAAAGCCATATACAGTCGACAATCGCGGGAGGAACGATAGTTTTGCGATTCGATTCCGAGGCTGGAAGTCGTATTTCCCACCCGTAAGTCGGACTTCCCCGATTCGAAAGATCGATGTCCCAAATGACGTCCGGAAGAGCTGGAATGGTATTTCATTTTTTTCCGAGACTCGGTCGCCTCTCACCACCTTCTCTGTCCGATTCGCCAGATTCATTATCTGTACAGCTTCCAACACCACGGTTTCGTTTATATCGTGACCGTACAACCGGCTATCGACAGCCAGACGTTCCGTTACGAGACCAGGATAGCTCGCTTCTGCCTGCAGGACGATTCCATGACTACATACGCAGAAGTACCTGTCAGGTACATGAAGGATTATTAATTGACTATAATTGAATACCTAATTGAAATTGATTGTAATTTTGACTGCATGTTCCCGACCTCATCGGCGTAGGAAAGAAAGATTCCTCAGCCTCTGGTGAGGCCAGTGCGTATCGGAACCGTTTCAACCCTTCCCGAAATAGGGATATCGCCTAATGACTTCTTCCGCCTTTTCCTCAAAGATGCAAAACTCCGAGCTACGTGTTCGAAGTCGCGGTTCACGCAAGAATGGTTCACCACATGAATCAGTTTCTCCTCTTCATGAGCATGGGGAGCACCGAACAAGGCGCACGTTATTCTCGCGACAAGTCCGCAATCTGTGTCTTCAATATCGAGGATTTGGACGAGAAATTCAGATCTACGATCGACAGTTGCAACTTCGGCGGGGCAGAAGCTGGAGTCAGGTGAGAACGCTCTACATGTAATTTGCAAGGACCCCCTCCTCTGCTGTTATCACTCACTAGGTCAGCTGGACCTCGGGTTCATTCAGATATGAATTCGATTGATTGATTGATTTATTTATTCTTTGTAGGAAAATCAAGTACTACCAGGAGTTTCGCGGTTCGGGACCTCTTCGTTGCGAGCAGACGGACCGTCGACAAGATTTCTGTTCAAGCAACAAACGAAACAAGTACATAATTTCAATGACGGAGTTCGAAGGTGAGTCAGTCTGAACTCGTCGCTGTTCCTGTGCTGGAGAATCCCCGTGCCATGAATCGACTGTCGCAATCTTTGCCCGTTTCCGCTCCTCGGACGAATTGACTGAAAACTCTCTCCATTCCAGGCGACGTAGTCTATGCAAATTCGAAGAAAGCTCCACTCGACGTGACTTACATCTATAATGCCACACGTATCCTGTCGGCTCCGGTCGGCGTCTTGACCGCCTTCGAGATCGAGCCGCCCGAAACGCCGACCTCCACCGACCCGTTGTTCATCTGGGCCGTTGATCACCGCGGACAAATCCACCGGATACTCTATATCACAAAAAGCACTGAGTCGACTCATTCGGAGTCCATGCTACTCATCACCGTGCCGCGGCCCATCGCTAAAAACGGCTATGAAGTTGAATCCGTACATTACGAAAACCGCACCATGTTCGTCATCGATAAGAGCGTCGTCGAGATATACGCTGCCGACCAATGCTCTCTGTTCTTGAACTGCGGCGATTGCCTCAATCCAAGAGCCATAACGCGATCCCACGTCAGCTGCATCTGGGAGAACGATCGCTGCGTTCACTCTGAGGACTTATCAAAGTTGGACTCCGCGTTCTGCAGACCGGCCGTAATGGAAAAGTCACCGTTCAGTGGACCCCAACGCGGGGGAACTCGATTCAAAATCAGAGGTTTCGACCTCGGCGACTCGGCGTCGGTCAGAGTGATGTTCGGAGACCAGCGGTGTAGAATCATCAGCTGGGACAACATGACCGGCATCTGCGAAGTTCCACCAGATAGAGACTCGAAGACGAAAGTCGACATTACACTGAACGTAAAGGATCACAAGCACGACGCCAGAATGAAAACATACCCCATAGCCACTGACGGAGCGGAAAAACTAGGGACCTTCACGTATTACAGCGTCGAGTTCTTCGGCGTCCATCCCTCCTTCGGTCCTCGTAAAGGCGCCACTCACCTCCGCATATCCGGACAGAATATTGGACGATCCGGTCAATCAGCTCAATACGGTCTTTTCGGTTCAGGAGATCAACTGATCTGCAAGGATTTCGTCGTCCGTAGCGGATCGGAGCTTTCTTGCAACACGACGGAATATTTCGGTCCGGAGAAAGGAAGAGGAGAGTCGTTCAACCTCGTGTTGAAAATCGACGGGGTCTCGTATGAAGCCGTAGAAAGACCGGAATACTCCCAAGTATTCGTATACGAACCCAACCCGGCGAACATCAAGCTGTCCCCTCTGACAAAAACGAATTTCTACGCGAAGGGTTCTCGTTCCTATCCGATAATGTTCGTCGGCGAGAATTTGGATTCTGGGGCTTTCCCGACTATTTTGGTGACACCATTGGGCCATCAGAACCAGTTAGAAGCTCCGTGTCTTTCGAACGTCACGGACATGAGCTGCAACGTGCCACCGCTCAGCGAAAAACTGGTGCTCGAGCAGCCCCTGCCGGCGACCGTTACCTTGAGGATCGACGGCTTCGCATTCAATCCGCCGAGCTTCCGTATTACCTACTACCCGAACGCCACGATCATTTTGAACGATGGGGAGAAGTTTGTCATAGATTCTGATGGACCGAAGAAGATATCGATACGGGGGAAGAATCTCCTACCGCTGAACAGAGAGGAGGTGGAAATCCTCGTCGACGACCAGTTGTGCGAAATCGGAACCATCGAAGATAACATGATCGAGTGCCACTCGGAATCTCTACGAGCCGGAGATTATTCGATTCAGGTCGACGTCGCAGGCAGGAAGTACAGCGCTTTTATGTCCACCATTGTCACCGCAGGTAATGGACTGGGCGCGGCGGCTGTTGCGGCGATCGTGGTCAGCTGTTTGATCGTGCTGATCGCGTTGACCTTCCTAGCGCTGCGTTACGTTCCGTTGCGAGAGAAATTCGTCGAAAACGAACCGGTCGTACAGTACACGCCCGAGAACGACGGTTACCTTCGTCCTGATAACGACAGGAACACCGCATCCGATAACGAACGGCTTCTCCCAACGATACCCCCCGACCCGGACATCATAAACCTACTTTCTGAGGAGGGATTACTCATGGACTTCTCTTGTATTCAAGTCGGCTCTCTGATCGGAAGAGGTCAATTCGGCTGTGTTTATCGAGGAATTTTGAAACGCGACAAACTCAGCGAAGAAGAGCCGGTCGCCGTTAAGACCCTCCAGCAACGAGGGCTGACTTCGAACGATGCAAACGTGTTCTTGAAAGAAGCTCTACGCATGAAAGACTTCAACCACCAGAACGTCCTCCGACTTATCGGGGTTAGCTTCGACAACAACAACTCCACCGATCCGATGATCATCGTACCCTTCATGGCGAACGGCGACCTGTTGACTTACATCCGGAACCAGGATAACAAGCCAACCGTGAAGGATCTGATCACGTTCGGTGCCAACATCGCTCTTGGAATGTCGTATCTCACCACACAGAAATTCGTACACCGCGATCTTGCGGCGAGGAATTGTATGCTGGGCGAGGATCTCATCGTGAGGGTGGCGGACTTCGGTCTTTCGCGAGACGTATACGAGACGTCGTATTACTCGTGCGACAACACCAAAACGAAACTGCCAGTCAAGTGGATGGCCATCGAGAGTTTGAAGGAGGGCGTCTACTCTCACAAGTCCGATGTCTGGTCCTATGGAGTTGTCCTCTGGGAGCTCATGACGCGCGGTTGTGTGCCGCTCCCTAACGTTGATAACTGGGAGGTTCAGAATTGGCTGATCAGCGGACGGAGAATGCTCAAGCCGTCTTTTTGTCCCGATGCTCTTTACGAGATCATGCTGGCGTGCTGGGACGAGGATCCCAAGAAGAGACCCACTTTCTCTCAGCTAGTCAAGGACGTCCCGAACGTAATCCACACGATCGAAACAGCCTCCCGCAATCAGATACCGAGTTACGTGAATCTATAGCCACTTCAATCCTAAGTAGGATTATAGTTCACAGAAGACGGAAATACCGGTGGTTCACGCACAAACTGATCCTGCTCAGCAAGGGCACCTGATGATTTCCAAGCCCCCGAAAGATGCGATCTCTATCGAAAGCCAACATTTTCTCCCGTATTTCTGTTTCGTCAAAAGAAGCCATATCGATGTTTGTGAATGTTCTCTCGGATCTATGTATAAATCGAATTTGCTAGGACACTCACAGGCTGTATGGGAACGCTGGATGCGCGACGAATGCACGCCCAAGATGACCCCTACGTCGATAGATCCGAATAGCGCTGTTCCATCCAGATCTTGTGTCGAATTGTAGACTCGGTTCAGGGCCTAATCGTCTCGTCATCCCGATCGTGACAGGGATGTGCGGTCGGAGAGCTAGGGAAATCCTCCTAGGAGAAAAAGAAGTTTAAGCACATACATATTTAGGTAATAGGGAGGAAAGATGACGCTTGTGAAGATTTTAGGCTCATACAAGATATGATAATTGGACTGGTGCAGAGAAGCGTATGATAGGCTCGCTGTACATACTTTGCGCTTGCTTTTGCACGCTACCTTGTTTCTCAAAGTTCCCTGCTCGGCGTGAGTGGAATTAAGACCCTACGAACAACTCGGAATTTGAAAATACCGGTACTTGGATAATATGTGATCCAGATCCAAACTCGAGGAGCCCCTGTTCAAAAAACGAGGAAAATCAGTTGCCGGCACGGAAGCTATACGTCTTGATCTACCTCACTTGTCAGAAGAACTTGACTTCGAAGGCTCCGGATGAGTGGAAGCGAATAAATCAAATAAAGCATGTTGAACGAACGACGCTAGATTGATTCTTCTATGCCCCAGAATCACATATCTCAAACCCTTGCAACTATCGGACCGGTCCATCACCGGGGCCTGAAAAATGGTGTTTCGGCTCGAAAATTGTGTGCGACATGAAAGACAGAGCCTCCGATAGTTTCTTCAGGTCCCCGATCCGAGTCTCGGGAACGCACTTCCGGCCCTCATATATGGCGAGGAGCGAGACCCGATACTTTCCGGCTTTCGGAAAAACCAAGAAAAGTCCAGGAAACAAGGTCAGCATCGAAAACTCGAATTATCGCGCGACCGCGGATGGTGTATTGGCAAACAAGAGCAGACGACACGACTGTTGTCTCTCGCTGTGTGCTCCTCCAGCAGCTGAAGGGCACCAAGGGAGTTCTGAAGCAAAGGGTGTCCCGCGCCGCCAGAATGGTGTATTCTAAAAACTACAAATACCCCACAGATGAAGAGCTGACGGTGCAGGAGATTGATCTATCTTTGCCGGTTTTGAGAGCGACGGCGCTGTTTGTTGGCAAGGCATGCGACGACGAGAGTAAGGTTAGTATCGGGAACCTCCTGTTTCGCATCGAAATGCTGATGGGGCTGTCGGGGTTTGTTCCTCCGAGGTTGGACACTCGGATCCGGAGTTTTCCATTGACCCAGCATGTCTTATGGGAATCGACTCCTCGGGAGTATTCGCCAGAATTCCGATTCGCATCCCGACCAGCCGAATCAAGAAGAAACAAAATCTGATTGCGCGGACCCCGGCAACGTTGTTCGTGAACTCCCAACGCCCAACTGAGTGTTCCTTTCCAAAAGCCGAAGTGTCAAATCCCCGTCAGTTCGGGCCGCTCAAGTGCACATTTCTCCTTCTGTGATGCTTTGAAGAAGCTTCATCGTCTAAAAGTCACTGCTCGGTGTGTTCCATCTCACCCAGACCAAACACGACAGCAACCCTAATGTCCTCCGGTCGGTTACTCGTATCGGTTTCATGAGACAGTCCACGGTCCTCCCCTGAATCCCAGACCCCCGCAGTCCCTCTCGCGAGTTTCTGCGCAAATGCAGGTTCGATCTGTCGCGAGCGAATTCGAACCAGGATTGATGCACGGAACCGATTCCCAAATTATTGCTCTCCCAACAACGCTTCTCTCTCATGCTCATTTTCAGGAGTTCATGCTTTGTCGGAGTGAAACTCTGGACCCACGGAAATGTCTCGCAGAGGGTCGCGCCGTCACCGCTTGTGGGCTGCGGTTCATGCAGAAACTCAAAGCGGCGTGTATGAAAGAAGTTGAGGCTCAGGCATCGTGCCTCGAATATGCCGGCGGGGCTATGATCGCCAATCGGTAAGAGCTTCTGTTCTCTGTCTATACGAACTTACTGCATGGTGCAATAATCAGACAAATGATCAAGACGACAAGACAACAATAACTGTGTATCCTCCGCAGCTGTCGCGAAACCGAAGCACCAATGGAGAAGTGTATTTTCGAGGCTACAGGCATAAAGAAACCTCACCTGGGATATTTCTCCATGCCCCGCATTCATCATACAGAAAGGGAGAAACCCGTCAATCCACTATCTACGCGAGTCTACCAGACGCCTCCCGGTTTCGAATCGGCTCCGGACGAGATCAAAAACATGAAAGTCAACATTTAGTACCTATTTTTAAGGGGACTCGGCTAGATCTTAGATAGTTCTGGGGAGGAGCACGATTGCGTTATCGTTCCGTGTTCACTGATGACTGATGATTCGGTTGCCGGAATGATTGGAGAGAGGTTGATGGATGAGTCAGTGAGATTCCGACAGCCGACCGAGTCGGAGAGATTGAACTGTTCGAATAAAAAAGAAAAACCATGGTCGATATCTTTGGTCGATTTTGTCGGTTAATTGAGGACAGGGCTGGGAAAACCGCACGGTCCTCACCACGCGGCGAGAGTTCGCGCGGTAACTTCGAGCGAAATTCTACCTTAGCTGCCAAAGTGCGTGGCTATTCGGGAAAGATAAGGCGCAGAACACCGAGCCCTCATCAAGAGTGATTGGCCGACGGCTTGTCAATAGGAAGAAGGGTCGTTTAGCTGCAGTCGGCGCTTCCTCGATCTATTATTTTCGAGGCTCAATGGGGTGAATACCTGCCTTGGCAGACATGTTTCAATTACGGAGCAGCAACGGATGCGCGAGAAATGCTCCAGTATATATCTCTCCGGCATGGATTCTACAACCCGCCATGTGCAACCCGCCATGTGCAACCCGCCATCGTTTTCAAACCTCATGCCGATATCCTTAGAGCATAACGCTGGATGAAGAGCGTGACTTGGATCTTTTCCTCCGCAATCGGGCCTCCAGAGCACTTCGTTGTAGCTCGTGAGCATCGGGGCTTCTGGCTGCTATTTCGGCGGGAGCTTCGGCTGCCGGATCGACACGATCGACGTTTATGTCTTCCCGCTCGGAGCGTCGCTGATCCCGCGGGGTACTTACCCCTGATAAACACCGAATAGGTATGCAGAAGGTAATCTGCGTCAGACTTGAGCGGAACTAGAAGAGCATTTCCGATCAGGGACACGGTGGAGTTGCTCCTCCGGGAGAGAGAAGGGCTTACCGCCTCTCCTATCAGTCAGGATCGGCCATGGATACCGATTCCTCCCAGGAACGTATACCCGCTTGCACCGAGTCCCATGATTCGGTCTCAAGAACGGAGCGATCTCAGGATTAAGTTCCCTCCCCCCCGGGTCCAGATGTAGAGAGGGGACTCAAGTTATCGTCATTGTGTCCAGGAGCTCAACGATTTCTCCCTAAAAGGATTCACAGACGGAATGGCGCATGACGTGTGACCGCTCCTGGACATTTCGAGCGACCAGTTTTCGATGAACTCTCGGTGAGGGGTATCCCGATCGGCAAAACGTCTCGGTGGAAGGACATTTGGTCTCGGGAACGAGCTCAATGAGGTCTCGGTGCCTCGGGTCGGGTCTGGGATTTTTACGGATATGTCGTGAACAGACGACCGCAAGCAACACATGGTTGCTTGGGTAAGAGCAGATGAAAAATATCCGCCTACAATTAGGAAGAAGCATGAAGATGGAGACCCACAAATCATATCCGCCATCAACAGACCTCTCTCTCTCTTCGGCCGCCGCCGTTCATTTCCCCATTCATTTTTCCGCTGTATCTATCGAGCAAGGACAACACAAGTGTCCCGCAGCTGTTGAGGGAGTGAGGAAAGAGATCTGTGCGAGAAGATGATCCCACGCCAACTGCGCTCCTATCGAATTTCGACAGGAGACACTTTCCATGTATTTTCCTGAAACACGAGCGAATATTGAGCTCTGAAAATTGGTCTCCAACGTCGTCCTTGTTCTACCGACTAGCGCGAAATCGAGTTTCCTCCAACAAAGGACCGTGCGTTCTTGAGTGGCTCCGAAGGACGCGAGTTCCGCGTCACGTATGCATCGCGGTTCGCGGAAATCTTTTGAAGTGCGAGCAAGTAAAAAGTCGGAGGAGCAAGTAGCTGAGAGGGAAGGTCGGAAGACGCGGAGGAGTTCCGTTCAGGGATCCAGGCGGGGCTTCGCTTCGATGCGGTCGATAAATCGTACGTACAATGTTAAGTCTTTGGACGTTGGCCAAAGGAACAGATAGAGCCGTCGACCTGCGCTATGAGTGGCTTCGGATCGAGTGAGAGATACGCAGATAGAGGAACGGGTCGAGAGATACAATTCGAGCAGGAGCATCCGGGACAGCTCGATGGGATGGTCCCGGGTACGAGAGGGAGCGCCCGCAGAAGAAACACCAAAATTTTCTCGGGGTATCGAGACAGAGGAAATTCTGATGCCGCTCCCGCGGAGGGACTGCGACTCGAGAAACCTGAAAAAATGAGACCTCCTAAATTCCCTGCGTTGTTTTGGAAGGCCGAGATTCCTCCCACCTTCGTCTCGCGGTTGGACGCGACCTGATTCCCCAGATACACTGGGGAGCTTCCATATCCTTGCGTCTAGAAGGGGAGACGGAAGTCTGAGCGGGGCAGATGGAGAGAAGAGGAATAGATAGGTAATAAGAAAAATATCGAGGAGAGAAACCCGCCGAAAGCCGCATCCATCTACCGCACGGGTTGGCCCTACCGGTATGGGTTGGCAGCAGGCCTGTATTATCCGGAGACTCCATTAGCTGCGAGAACGTTCGCGTTCGCACTCACTGTTCCCACGCGAGCATCTACGCTTTCCGTCTTTCGGGGCTATATTCGGCCGTACTTCATACGGGAGAGCCGTAGAAGCCGAAAACAAAAAGCATCTGCTCTCAGGTAGTCATCTAGCCATCGCACTCTAACACTTATCGTTCGAGGGAGAGAAGCTCGTATCTTCTTGTGGAAGAGCGGACGGGGGATTCGGGCACTGACTCTAAAGGAGGGAATACCCCTCGGAGGATGTTGATCTAGCGAATTCAGTTTCCTCAGGGAGCGTCATATGTACGATTCTCACGAAATTAACTACGAGGAGCCAATTTCCGCCGACGCGGCGGGCTTAGCTCTTCTATTCAGGGATCAAGTTCTCCTCAATCCTCGAACGTGTTTTCCCCCCTTTAAGAGGAGCCTGCATTTCCCTCATCACACGATACAATGAGAAGCTTTTCGATGATGGAATACAGTAAAAGCTCGTTACTACGAACACGAAGGGACCGACGAAAGTGGTTCCTTGTACCGAAATTTCGCTGTAACGAAGGCCACTCGACACTACCCCTATTGCGAGCTGGCCAAAGCAGGAGAAATTCCTTGTTCGTTGTACCGAGAAATTCGTTGTAATGGGGGTCGTTATAACGAGCTTTTACTGTACAATATCGGACTTACTCCCGGAGGACCCAATCTACGAAACGTTGAGAAAATATTCCCCCGGACGATCGAAAATTTTGTCCGACTGAGATTCCGGTTGACCACAGAACGTGGCTCGATCGAAATTGAGGGCGGTGTGAGCGTAGCGGAAGGCAAGTACAAAAACTCGACAGACTCACTGTCGACGAGCCTCATACGACGGAAATTGTCGACTTCTGATGTGGGAAGGTCTTCAAATCCTCATCAGGACCTGGCGACTTTGGCTTCATAAAAATTCACCTCCAAAACCTCCCACAGGCAGTGGACATCGTTCGTCCTCTGATCGATAGCTTTTTCGGGCTCCTTCTTAATACTTTTGAATGAAAATCCGAGTCCCGAGCTCTATTTCCCCAGAGTTCTCGTGATTTTTTTTTCAGTACAGCGAGAAGACCCCATCGATGGTTCCGGAGACTTCCTCTTCTAATCCCTTTAGTGCCGTCATTCGGAGGTTCTGTCCGATTATTTTTTTGCCCTTGTTTGGGCTTCCGGCGTCCGGCGGTATACTGACCTTTGATGACCTCTGGCGGCGGTTCTGATGGCAAAAGTTCGCGTAGAAGCCGCAACGCTTGCTGCGTGCCTCGCTCGACCCTGGCTTTAATTGGAGCACTCGAATAACTTCCCGGGCGATAATTTCTTAATGATCCGAAAACTCTGCTTGTTGTAGGCTGCGCTGCTTCGTTGCTCGGTTCGACGTGAATGACCAGGTGAATTCGATATCGGGGACCTAATGATAATCGTATATCTCAGAAATTTGTGCGTCGACCAAAACGTTATGGCAAGTTTCCAATAATTAAGCTCTAGGAAATAGCCGGAGAGCGTTGGATTTTCCATTAGCGCAGGCCGCGCGCTGAGCTCCTGTCTATGCGAGGAGACTAGCTAAGCTTCAGAATGAAGCCAGCCCGGGAAGTTTTTCGGCAAATACAAATTGGCGAGCATATCGTGTTACCAACTGCCCAAGCGGTGACCGCGATTCGTAGATCGGCTTTCCGATTGAGGGCGACCGTTGCGCCTGGGAGAAAACTGCCTCAGAGATTCCTCAAAAAGAGAGGCATCTCAGATAGTATCGTCCTGGGAGAATTCCTAAGGAGAGAGAAGCGGATTGTCTCACTCTGGAGAGCTTTCGCTTCCAGAATTCTAAACTCAACAGCTGTTCTCGGGAGCCTGTCGAGGTTGAGAACTCTGGGGAGAGAAAAGATGATCCGCTCGTCGCTCTGGAACGGCATGATGTGTGGAATCGTACTCCAGCTGCATCGTCGCTGAATCCGCTGGACGAGTTTCGGAGGAAACTCAACATGTGATCCAACTCTCAGGATGTTGATCGATCGGAATCTACGATGTAAACCGTTCCCTGACCAGAAACGGAGAATTCATTGTCGGAAATTCATCGCCGAGCCTGGGCCTGAAGTCTGGGAGCAGGGTCATGTCGACGAACGAGAGGGTACCAACGAGTCTCAGGATTTATGACTGGACTCATATTCATTCGAGCCGCAAAGTCGAATAGTTCCTGAGCGATTCCCTGAAATTATGATTGACGCAGATGTCCCGGTAGACACGCAGACCTACTCACTCTTCTCCACACATCGATACTGGAGAGAACCCGAAGAGATGGGGCCACCTGATCTGCGTGGTCTCATCCGAGGCTCGCTCCGGCGGGAGTCCTGTGATCTCGTCACGAACGACCTCTGTCATCACACCCGACTCGGAATGCCATCGCGGATCTCTGGTATGCGTTCGAGGACCAGTTAGCTTGCAGAAGAATGTGGTCTGCTGTCGCAAGTATTGTCCGCGGCGCTTGTCTCATTACTTTTCTCAATATTATCGGAACATCGGGATCTATGCAGCGGTTCATATGAGGCGGAAGAACATTCACACAAAAGTTCACATGATGTCGCTAGTGATTTGTCGTTCATCGGGATCAGATTCATCATTATACAGTGAACAAGGGTTTAGGGCGTGCCACATCGGACCACACGAGCGATATACGTGTTCCGAAAAGTTTTTGAAAGACGCG